CCTCAGCAAAAGCCTCCCCAGGGCTCTCTTACTCCTGTACCTGCTCCTCTTCCATGGCTTCTCTGTGGTTTCTCCCGTCGCCTCTCCCGTGGTTTCCTTGCTGTATTCACCCAGACTAGGCCCTGGCCTTGCTGGTTCCCTTCCGTACCACTTTCCCGTGCTGCATATCCTCCTACAGAGCAGTAGACAGGTAGCGAGTGTCCCAGATCGCTGTGTTCTCACTTTGCACCTGTCTACCTCATACTCCTGAGCCCCTTCCTGCTTTGGTTCTTTCCTCCCTTATGCTGCTCACATTTATTTCATTTCTCTGCTTCCTTCTGGGGGTCGGGGAGGGCCATAGGGCAGAGATTTCTGTCTGTTTGGATCAGGGCTCATGCACAGTGCCTGGGTTAAGGCCTGTCCCCAGGACACATTTGGTGACCGAATTCATGGGGGATCATTCCAGACCACACGTGGCTGCTGGTCCTGCCGCCCCTCCTGGCTGCTGCCGCGTGACTCGAGGGCCCCGGCCAGCATGCAGACCGACCGCACTCTGCGCTGGCAGGTAGGACAGCAGGATGCTGCAACCAGAGACTCCCTCCCTCTGCTCCTCTGTTCCTTTTGGCCTCCACTCATCAGATGCTTTTGTCTCTGGAAAACCAACAGAGCCCTCTGCCAGAAAGGTCTGCCCAGCCTCCTTGTTGTTTCAGCTGTGTTCAGGGTTCTCTAGGAGGAGGCTTGGCCGCAGGAGGCCTGTGGGGAGCCAGGCAGGGACGGGGGACAGAGCGAGGCGCTCAGGAAACTGCAGCCTTGGGGCTCACGGTCACTCGGTCACTCAGACCCTGTTCCATGGATGCTCAGCTCGCCTTGTCCCATGCCTTCTGGCCTGCTTGTCTGTGAAGTAAAGAAGCCTGGTACCTGAGGAGGTCCGGCCTTAGCGTCCTAGGCAGACCTGCTTTAGGTGAAGGGTCCAGGAGTGGAGCCATAGCTTAGTGACAGAGGGCCCGCTTAGCACACAGGAGCCCTCCATTCTACCCCAAGCACCACAAAAAGTGAGGTAAGGTTTGGGCCAGAGGGAAGAGCAGGAGTCACTGGTGAAGCCGAGTGGCCACTGTATCCCTGTCTGGGGAGGGTGGAGGGTGGGAGGGAGGAGATGCAGGAGCTGCCACCACTGACACTTGGGCTCTGCCAGGGTTGATCCCACTCAACCGCACTCTGGTGGAGCAGCTGAGCGGTCAGTGTGTTGATTAAGGTGGTCGGGCACCTTCCGCCCCAGTGGGAGGAGCTTACCACCTTCCTCCTCTTCTTCCCTACCCTCGAATTAAAGCCGGTGCCCTCTGCCTGTGTCCTGAAAGTGATTCATAAGACTTGGGAAGGTTTATCTGATAAGGTCGGCAAGCAGGCAGTGATAGAATTTCTTCAGGGCAACTAAACTCAAACGCTAAGTTTAGATCTTAAAGGAAAGTCATAGGTTGAAGTCTATCCACTGAATATGTGGTTTGCCATTTTCTTTCAGTTAAACAAACAAACAAATAAATGAACAAATAATAAACAAATAGGAAAGGATTAAATGTCTCCCTGAGGCTTGGGTGTGAAGGATAATGAAACGGTACCCTGGCTTATTCCTATCCTACAAACATTTTAAATATGGTGTTAATAATTCTCTTTATTAATCCACAAAGGAATGTTTTATCGTGGAATACCAAAGAAAAGTAATCTATTTATGTTCCCACCTTAATGTTAGCTTCCTTCTTAAGTGAATTTCCTTCCTTTGAATTCTTGTACATTGGGTCATTCCAAAATGGATTATTGACCAGTAAAGAGGTCACTGTAGTGTTTCTAAGCTAAGCAGCTTTAGGAAGAAAAGCCTCTGAGGACTGTTGCTCGTGGTCTGAAGCCAGTAGAATGGGGCTGGGAATTAAGCAGCAGGTGAACAAGGGTTTGCTAAGCACCCTCCTTGCGCAAGAGTCTTCTAGAAAGAAGTCTCTAGGACCTCAAGATCAACAAATATAAGTTGAATCTAATTGAGTTTGCAATAATTCTCCTTTGGAAAGCAGAAGAAATTTGTATTTCTGAACAGTTGGTTGATTGGCTTCCAGAGGACCACAGCGGTTGACTTGGACTTCCTTTTATTTTGACTAAGGAACTGCCCATCCTTTTTGATTTTATTTAGGGTTTTCAGAAGCTATATCCACCAGCCACCCCAATTTACTGGGGCTGTCTACTGGAGTAGCTGGGAGGGTTACACAACTGGATTAGCATGTGACAAGACCCCAGCCCCAGTAGAGTCTACTCATCACAACGTGTTTCTCATTAATCCTTTTCAAGGGCTGGAGTTTTTGTTCGCACCGTCTCAAATCAAGCTCTGAACTGAGCTAGGGTTGATGGCTTTTAGTCTTAGCTTTATTTGGAAGCTAAACTGAAAGTGTAACCTTCAGTTCCTCTTTCAAAAATGTTGCCTGCGTTTGTCCACCAGAGCTGAGTCATCTCCAGGGAGGCTAAGCAGGTGCCTCTGGCTTCTAGAATCCGAGTCCAGTCGTGATGTTTTTGTTTTCCAGAACTCTGTGCTACTCCAAGAATTATCAGAGGATCCGTGGGGTAGAACTCTGTTGGGAGCTGCTCAGAAATTCAGATCCAAGTGCCAGCCTTACCCCCAAAGCTGCGTTTTGGTAAACACAAAATATCCAGCTAATTGCTGGATATAATCCATCTCAATATGAGAAGCACTGGCTGAACGTGCCTTTATTTTATTTTTATTTATTTATCTTTTCTGTATTTTAGGGAAAAGTCTACAGGGTGTTCAGGACCCCACTACTAGATCGGACTTGTGATCCTCCTGTTTACAGCCTCCCAGCCTCCTACGTGCTGGGATTACAAACTTGTGCCACCACACCCAGTCTCATCCTCAGCTCAGTGCACCCTGGGGATGGGGCCGCACGGCAGGTCTGGGGATCAAACCCCTGGCCACTGCGCCTGCTTGCAGGCGAATTCACTGAGCTATTTGGGTGGCCTGCCTTTAGGTTTAGATTTATTCATTCTTTTTGTGGTGTTGGGGATCAAACCTAGAATTTCACATATGCTAGGAAAGTACTCTTTACCACTGAACTATATCTGGTGTTAGATTTACTTAAAATTGCATGATTAGGATGTGAAATAGACATATTTCCACTTTTTCTTTTTTCTTTTTTATAGTACTAGGGATTATACCTGGGGAGCCCTGTGCTACTTCCTGGCTCTTTTTGTTTTATTAGGAGCTAGGGTCTTGCTAAATTGCTTAAGCTGCGCTTGAATTTGTAATCCTCCTTCCAGAGCCTCCCTGGTAGCTGGGACTGCAGGCACATGCCACCATGTACAACATCTGTTAATTGTTTTGGTGGTAGTTGGGGAGTCCTGGGGATTGAACCCAGGGCCTTGGCACTGAACTACAACTCCAGGCCTTTCTTTTAGGTTTCATTTCTCCGATGGGATCTTGCTGAGATGCCCAGGTTGGGGCTGAATTTGTGATCGTTCTGCTTGAGACCGCTGGAATTCTGGAATTACACATGTGCTGAGTTTCTGTTAATTTTTTTTTTTCTAACATTTAACTACAAAAGTGACAAACATGCAGCAAAATTGAAAGCATTTTACAGCAAATAGCCAGCCATAGACCTCCACGTAGGTTCTATTTTTAAAAATTTATTTATTTTTATTTTAAAGAAGAAAAAAAATTTTAAAAAGGCCTGGGGAGATAGGTCACTGGTCTAAGCAGGAAGATAAAATCGGTGGTCTAAGCACCTGCCTGGCAAGTGCAAAGACCTAAATTTGATCCCCAGTACCGCATGCTGGCCACCAGAGCTGGGTGTAGCGGCACATGCCTGTAATCCCAGTGCTGGGGAGGCTGAGACAGGAGGATCACTACGAGTCTGAACTGTATACCAACACATTGTGTCAAATAAATTTTAAATAAAAAAATTTTTTTAAAAAAGGAGAAAAAAGCAAGTAATAAGGAGAAAAAGACAAAAATAAAGCAACGTACAACAATAAAAAAGTACAGAATCTCAAAACAAGAACAGAAAAAAATTTAATGTATTTAATATAGGGTCTACAGGGTCTCCCTACACAGCTCGGACTCATAGTGATTCTCTTGTTTTCAGCCTCCCAAGCGCTGGGATTACAAGTGCGGACTACCACGCCCAGTCTCAGTCACTCGCTCGGTGTGCCCGCGGCCGGGGCCGGCACAGCAGGCCTGGGGATCAAACCCCAGACCTCAGTTCCATACAGGCAGGACTGGTGTCTGCCTAAGCAGGAGCTTTAATCTGCTGAGCTATCTGGCTGGCCTTAAAGGAATTTTTTTTTTAAAGGTAATAAAAGAAAATGAGACAAGAACAAAAATTTAAGTTTTCTTGAAAGCATGTGATAATATTCAATCATACGTCCCATCTTGTATAACTATATCTGTTAATCTGAGTAACAGATTTGACCATAAAAATAGATAATATATCAGTCATTGTTGATCTGCTATTCTTGTTTTGAAAATCTATGAAGTATGTATTGTTGTTATCCTATTTCTTTTTGTTTTTCTTGTTCTTGTTTTTACCCTTCAAAATAAAAAATTATAATAGTAAAACAAGACAAAACAAAAAAAAAGAATTCTCAGGGGCTTTGATAAGGTTGCAGTTAATTTAAGGATTTCTTGAGGACCAGAATTGTGGGCATGGGGCAAGGGAATACTGGGCTGTGGCAGAGCTGGGGGCTGGTCCCGGTCCTACCCACTGTACTGGGCTGTAGCCTCCTGGTCTGTACCCACATGTCAGTTCCAAGAAGTGGTCTCAAGTGTGTCTTCTAAGCCTGTAACTATAGATCCACTGCAAATATCACTATCCCTCTCCTTCAGGTAGAAGCAGCTTGTATCAGTTAAATATTCGAATAAGAAGAAAAACATCTGTTGGCATGGGAAAGTGATTATTTCCTAAGTTACTGGGTAAAACACAGCTGCAATGACAGTTTTAACTCTGTTTTCTTGTTGATTTTTGTTCTTTCAGGAAACCTTTCCGAAACCTCAACCATCTGGAACTCAAAAACCCATGTGCGGTTGACTGCGGCTTCTAGAAGGTCCAGGTGTCCTGCAGATGCGAGAATTTATCCTGCAGTCACCAGACTGAGTCTGAGACAGATGCAACGCTTGTGATGTGGCTTGGATGACCTTATATGTGGAGGGGTCACTTGTTGAGTGGCCAGTGAGTGGTCACTGATACTGATTTCTGACTGTCCAACCTAGCCAGAGGCTAGCTGCAGAGGGGAAGAGCGCCTCTGATTGGTCAAGCCAAGTTAGGAGTTGCCAGTTACCCAACTCTTGAATTAGATTTCCAAATCTAATTGGAAATTCATTGGAGGTCTTGCTTCTGTGGTCTCCACTGTACTTGTAGCCATCATCCCTGTCACCACCACTGCCACCAGTATGTTTTCTCAACCTTCTCTCCAACTCCCCTGAGGCTTCCTGCATTGAAAGTGAGCAGAAAGAGTCTGGGAGAAGACCCTAGTGGTGGCCCACCATCGCGCCAGACAACTGGAATCTTCCCCTTCCTACCATGGGCTGGCTGTCTCTGAAGGTTTTGTTGGTGGGAGTGAGTTTCTCTGGATTTCTTTATCCTCTTGTGGATTTTTGCATCAGTGGGAAGGCAGCAGGCCGGAGACCAAATATTGTGATCATTCTGGCTGATGACATGGGGTGGGGTGACCTAGGAGCAAACTGGGCAGAAACCAAGGACACTGCCAACCTGGATAAGATGGCTTTGGAAGGAATGAGGTGAGTCTGAGGCTGCCAAGCTGTCATCCCTGTGGATTCTCATCCCAGCTCTTCTGGTGGCAGGAGGCACTAGAAAGCGCCTAAGGAGAAATGAGTGGCTCTGTGCTGGTGTCATTAATATACTCATTTGGTTGGAAACCAGAGCAACATTATGAAGAACACGTAC